GTAAAAAACAACGAAATATATTTTTGCTTGTAATTAGAGTATCAGAAAGAAATATATAAAAGGAACAACGGTGTCTCATCTGCGTTAATCAGTTAAGTGGTTCACCAGAAACTCACAAAAATGACATTTGAAACACAAGTTTTTTAAGAAAATGTGCCTGAGACTTTCATTAAAAGAAAATACAAGTTTAAGTCTTAACGCATGAAGGTATTTTCAACATTCTGATTTATACATTTATAAAATTCACATTTATAAAATATGAAGCATTTAAAATAATCAACATTTTCATAACATGAATCAATGTTGCGTTGGAAATAGTTATAAATCTCCCAGCAACAGCAAATATTTTAAATTAGCTTACGCAGTGCACCCAAAGTAAAAAAAAAAGCTAATTTCCAAACGGGAAAGATTACTAAACTTATCACTAACATTTGAATTTCTCACTAAATTTAAAAAAGGGGAGCTTAATTCATCTGAGTAGGAAAATTTTTAAATTCATGTCAGAAAAAGCTAACAAGATGATTAAAATACTTCATTAGCGTAAACACATGCAAATCAAAAGTTGGATACCAAGAAATAAATAATCAAAAGATGAAATAGTGCCGCAACATATATCTCAAAGAAGTAGCACGAATAATTGATGAGGAAGATTATATTTTGTTAATTTTTTTTCCCTTTCACCTCAACTGATAATTAGTGTGCTTTGGACATTTTTTTAAAACTTCATTTTGCTACTTATTGTATGCAACAGAGGAAGATAAATTCTCAGCTTAAGTGGTATTATAGGATTATTTTATCTTCCTACAGTGCTAGATATTTAAATATGTTAAATTGTAAGCCATTCGGTTTCCTGTTTAAATACTTTTAATCTTTCTTTATTTTTATCTAAAAACTGTTATTAAAACTCTAGTGTTTAAAAATATAAGTATAGGTATTAGATTTTTAAGAAGTAATAATTTTATTTAAATTATGTTCCTTGATTTTAACTACTTTTATATACATTATATGTATTTTATGAATTTTTGACTATGTGTATTTTGTAATATATTTGTTAAAAACAAAGCCAAAAATACATACACATAAAGTGGAGTTATTAACTATTGAAGCGACAACAAAACGATACCGCCATTGAACGAGTCGACGCAAAGAAAGACGGGAATGAAAGCGTGAAAACCTGTTTAATGGCAGGAGAAAACAGATTTTCTGAAAGACAATTGTTAAAATCCCTTTCAAATTTAACAAGGCAATGAAAATATTTTGGTGTTGTTTTTTTTCTTACTTTCGTCGTCACTATGACTCTTCAGAAATCAATAAACTTTTTTTTTCAAATTGAGTTGTGACTCTAAACGCATTTGCTTTTGAAATTAAATTTATTTTTTAAAAAAATTCTAAAATATAGATGTAAGTATTTCGTGTTATTTTACCACCATTTTCGTCACAGATCCGATCATAAAATCGAAAGTTATGCTGGGAGGAGCGATTTTTTTTTCACTCTGTACATTTAAAGGCGCAAAATCATATATTTTGAAACTGTTTAATCATTTAGCTCACCAGGTTGTATTATTTAAAATTTTGTCTCGAGATTTCCATATCACACAAGAAATATAACGTTTTGAATATAAGATTTCCCCGGCGTTCTTGTCATTGATTTGAAGTTCTAAATTGAGGTTTGTAATAGTTTTCATTGTTACTGTCCAGTACAATATTTCTATTATACTTGAAAACACTCTTTTAAAAATAACGTTAAAATAATGTTTTAAAGTTATTATGCATAATGTGATGATTCTAGTAAAAGAGCTTTTTTAAGTCTAAATCTGTCTTTTGAATTTTGTTGCAGGAATTATATATATAAAGAAAAGGCAAACCTCCTGGAGTTTTCTAAGCTACAAGATTAACTACTTAGCCATCATCGTTAAAGAGAGTTTATTTTTCCCTTGTTAAATGCCTTTATGAAATGAAAATGTGTATATTTAATTTTTAAGATTTTGCCACTTGAAAATGTCATGTATTAGGAGAATCACCCAGCTGTTAAAAATATAAGGTGGCTAGATTATACTAAGGCGCGATTCATTCGGTTGGTGTAAAGAGCTATAATTTATAATTAGCAACCATTTTTTTCGAAAACAATTTATCATGAAACTTATTTATGATATAACTTTGCGCAAAACTATTTTTAAACATAGAAACATTACTATAGAATTAAGCCATGCAGTCAGAAAGTAAATAAAGACTAATTTAATAATGCTAACAGTGAAAACTTTCACAAGTTGCTTCAAATATCCAAGAGATGAGAACGTTACTGTTCATGATCATAATATTCATTCTTTCTTTTTCTGTTTTCAGTAATCATTACTTTTCTTCCCTAAAGCATCGTGATCTGCAAGATTAAGGTTCGCAAAAGCTTTTTATAGCTGTTTTATATGCATTTTCTTCGCAAAATTTCGCTTCTGTTATTGTTCACGTCCTGTCGTGGAATTAAAAATAAATCTTGTATGTGTCTTTAAAATATTAAAGTATAATAATCAATAAAGTGCAAAAATAGATTTAAATAATAATCAATAAAGTTAAAAAAAACATACAATAAGCATATATAATTTTAAAAAAAAACATACATAATTTATAACGCTTTGCATAGTTAATATAACTGTTTTCACAAGATATCTTTTAAAATATAATTCCAAAAATTTCGATTTATTTAAAATTTCGATTATTTTTCGATTTAAAATTTCGATTAAATTTCGAAAAATTTTTACTTTTTTCTTTTTCATCAAACTGTAAAAAAACATGTCATTAAAACTGTCATTTAAAAACGGACGCCTGATTTTTAATCAGATAAGTACTATTATTTTAAGAAAGAAAACTTTATGAAATAAATATGTCAAGAGTAACTGTCATCATTGTAGTCGGTGCGAGCCGAAAGCTGAGTTCGCATGACCAGTCAACGTCAGAATTCGAACCCGTGTCACCTCATAGGGAAGCAAGTGCTCCGCCCCTTGAGTTAGGGCAGCTCCGGTGTTTGGTTATGAAGAAAAATCTTAAACAGACTTTATCTTAAAAGTCAATTAAAGTCATATTTCAGTGCAAAAATGTTTCAAACTATTTTTCTCTGTTTTGATCTGTTTTTGTCCCATCCCTCTAAAATTGTCTGGAAATTTAACTTGCCAAAAAACTATATCTAAAAACAGATAATTATCAAGTTGAGTTTCAATTCGAAAATAAAGTTGATTTGCAATTTTATTTGTACGATGTTGTTTAAAAGCAAGAGCAATTATAAAAAAATCGTGACACTGTTTTTAAAAAAAAGATAGTTATCGTATAATAAGCAAAACTTCATGGCAAAAACTAGAAATTGGTCTGAGAATTTGAATCCGTTTATGATTAGGATGAAAAACATCGAAAACCGTTTTGTGAAAAATAGCTATAAACCGCCAAATATACGAAGAAAGTCTGTAAAAAAACGGGAATTTTTCGCTCTGCATGGTTGATGGTTTCGAGATTTACTTGCATGCTAGCATTATTTTGATTAAGATAATTCAACATAATTTGTAAAGTTTAAATAAATTAGCTAATACATAGTTGCAAACTTAATTTTACAAATACAGTCATATAATATTAATGTCTTGAAAAGAGCATTACGAATGTTAGCATAGATGAGTAGACACATTGCTTGTTGAATACGAGGGACGCACAATAAGCCCTTAATGAAAGGTTAAAAATATTATATTTTGTAGATATTCTTTTTAACCTAATCTTCTTTATGCTCTACACATTTATCCACTGCTTTTTAGTTTTCATTATCCTCCTAAAAGGTAGAATTTCGAAAAGTTCTCGAAATGTATTCTTCTATCGGAGATTTTCATTTGACAAAAATCATATTCATCCGAACTATTTTTCCAAGTTTGTAAAAACAAAATTCATTGAGGTCTAAATCCGGTGAATATGGTGGATATAACAATCCTTAAAACTAATTCTATATTTTTGAGAAAATAAAATAAGTTCCTTAATTTTAATCTACTTGTCAAACACAGTTATAATACTATGATTAGTTAATTGCTTTACATATTTACAATGGAATATAATTTGGATTGGAATTATATTTTTTCCACTATTTATTAACACCTAAAGTTGCTTATCTTAAATTACCTAAATTACCAAGTAGCTTAGTTACTAAATGCAGCTTAATAAAATGCTTACTAAAGTAAATACATAGAATATATATATGCCAACATACTAACAGCCATACTTATTATACATTTTTTTATTTTAGTTTCAATTTCTCCTTTGCGGTAGGCCATTATTTCACCCTAAGGTACCCGACTCCTTTTTTAAACCAATGTTAACAAAAATATCATAATTTCCTTGTTTTCAAGTAAAATAAAACTATGGACTTTTCTCTTTCAAAAGCTGTTTGAGTTTTGTTTCTACGACAAACAAGAACAGAAATAGAAGTTGTGATGATTTAAGAAAAATCTATATTATTGTATTGATACCTCTTTTGTCTTTTTTCTCAAAGCTAATTTTTCAATTATTTTTCTCCATTCTAAATGGAATTTCTCAACATTCTTCTTCTAATCACGCGGAATTTTCATGAATGTTTTCTATACTTGAGTATAGAAAATAGATTAATGACAAGTGAATTAAACTTTTACATTTTACAGTTAAAATAAAGATAATTAACTGCAATTTTTTTTTTCTGTCATTACTGTAAAATATCAAAATATTAATATTATGCCTAATGCTTAACCTGCTTCCTAATTTGAGTGTGAATGAATGTGTTTTGTGAATTTTGGTCATTGATATATATATAATCATTAATGTGAATGAGTAAAGCTAATTACTTATTGCTTTTTTTATTAACAATTCAAAATTGAACTTTTTGTTCTGAAAACTTGTAAATGCTTTACTCAGATCGACCAAATAGCCCCGTTTTCATTTTTCTTTATTTAGCTTTTTTTAATGTTGTATTTCAAAATAAATCTCAAAACACCAAGGCTTAAACAAAACTTCACTTTTATTATTTAAATGTACAAGTATTTACAGTGAATTTAAATATACATCTTTAATATTTCTCCAGTATTATTTAAATGTTGGCGGGTATTGGAAATCCATTTTATGTTTTGCTGGAAGAGTCTAAAATCACCCAACAATGTTTGTTTATGTTGCACATAATATTAAAGTTATAACAATGGTTAAATAAAACAAACATTTATGAAGTTCAAGTTGTTTTGAACCTGAAAAAAATAAAGAAGAACTTGAAAAAATTTAATATTTATTTTATTTTTAACTAGATCTTCATTCATCTCTAAAATAATAAGAAAAAAATGCTAAAACTATATTTTAAAAGCTACAGGAAGCATAGTTAAAAACCATATCAATTTTTTATTTCTAAATATCTCTTATTATTTTTAGAAATGGATATTTTTTAGATTTCCGGAATGCAATGCAATGCAAAGTAACCACATATTTTCTACAATGAAGTTCTGATATTTTAGTACCTAAAATACTCTTGAAAATCATTCCTCAGAAATATTTGGAAATATGACTTTTTGTCATATTGTCCAAATTGTTTCAAAATGTCCTTTAATAAAATTTTGTACTATCAGATTTTGCAATATTCGGTAAACTTTGGTAAATGTTGTAAAATTCGGAAATTTTATCATGATACTATCGAGCATAAAAACTATTTATTCTATCTGGTTAACTATTCGGATATGAACGGAAAAATTACCAGATATTTTTAAATTACTATAAATTACCAAATATTACGAAATTATTATATGTTTTATTGACAAGATTCTTTTTAACCAGAAATTTTATTATTTAATATGGTAATTTTACCAGAATGTTTTTCCCCGTGTAAAAGTTTATTTTAAATATAAGACATGAATCCAAGTTTGCATTTTTAGTGTTTTTTAATCATTTTTTCCAATGAAGAGGGTCTGGAGTTTTCTGACCTTACAAAAACATTTTATTAACCTCACGAAACTTTTACATTAATGAAATTTTTACGTATGGAATAAAATACAAAAACATTTTATCAAATGCAAGCTAATTTTATAAAATAGTTATAAATGAAAAAATTAATCAATTTTCAATAGTAATTTCTAATTAATTACTTGAGCATACAAACACGATATAAAGAAGGGAAGATGTTGTAGTATTCAATCTTTTAAACGAATTTTGTGCTTCGATATCTGGAGACTCGTAAGAAAATTGTCATTATAGTACAAAGTTAATTTTCAAGAATACTATCTTTTCAGTTTTTGGTGTAGTACTTTGAAATAAAGTGTTTGACATTAAGTTATAGATAAAACTTTTGGGTTATTTTAAAAATAAAATATAGAAAAACCCAAGAATCTGATTTACCGAATGAAATTTCCTGCAATTACACTAAACAATTATTTTCTGATTTTACACCATGTTTTGTTAAACAAAATGAAATCAAACTTAAAAAACCTTTGTACTACAAAGAATAAGCTTCCTTTTCATGCGTCAGAACAATTTTAATTTCTCATTTGATGTTATAAACCTCACAGCAACTCTAAAAAGCATAATTTTATAAAATCTCAGTCTGAAATAGCTAAAACTAGTGGTCATAATAAAAAGATTCAAATTTCTTGACCAAAGCTTTACAACGACCATCCCATGGAAATGGAAAGATATTTCATTATAATTTTTGATGATGCTCATTGATACCTTGTTATTAATGTCAATATAATATTGGTTTTATTCATACCTTGTTAATTTTTTTGCCAAAATATGCAAGTTTCCAAACGTTATACGAAACAGGGGGATGCGTAAATATTGCGACAAACTTCTAAGAGGAATTAGGGCATGTCATCAGTATTAAAATTGCATTAAATCCATGCCTGGAAGTGCCACCTATCGCCGTTAGGGGGTGTGTTTCCTATTATCAACCGTTTATAAGTGTGATTCCAGGCAGGGGATGGGGAAATTCCCCTAGACGCCTACGGCCACTTTTCCGGGCATATCTTCTTATGCAATAATAATCCTGTAGATATACCTTAACTATCCTAGAAGTTTCTCGCAACATTCAAGTGACCCCTTGTTACGGAAAACGTCTTTAACATATGCATTTCAACAAAAATATCATCAAGAAACGTATTATATTTAGGAGTAAAACTAATTTCAGACATGAAATCCCTACACCCGAATTTTGCAAGATTTAATAATTGTATAAATGGATCAAAACATTTGCTACCTCCAGTAACTTGAAAAAATATTTCTTTTTTTTTAAATTTTAAAATATAAATACGTGAAGATTACAATTTTAAATATAAATTGAGGCACATTTACTATTACAAAAGTATCAAACAATATGTTTGAAGTATGTACTTACCTATGGCTCTAATCTCTTTTATTGAGACAGCGTGAATATGGTTTACAGTAGCGACACACTTAAGTATCACTTTACCGTTATGCAAAACATCTGGTTTTAGACGAAACCTTAGGGCTATACTTGTGCTTTCCAGTTGATCGGGATACACAACGGTTTCTGGATCGGACTGCTCAGACTGAACCTGGAAACAAAATACCGTTTTGAGATTTTTATTTTTTTGATTAAAAAAAAGAAATCATTCTGGGTTTTTTGTAGAATACTTTCAACTTCCCGCCATTGTTATGTAAGCTTTTTATTGTATAAAAAAAGTTCAATGAAATCCGTGATTGTGAAGACATTATTGTCTGCATAGATTTTTAATAAATCGACAAATCTACACTGAATTCATTTCGTACACATGAATTAATAGTCGACTACACTGACAGCGTACAGATTGAAAAAAATTGTGATGCAGCTCACATTAGCTACGACGATCACTTTGATAATTTTACTTTAAAACCAGCGTTGAGCAGACTACCCAATCATGAGTTAATGATTATCGATGTTCTTCTCCGTAATCGTGAAGTTTTGAACCTGACCCTGAAGACAAGGAACTCCTGTATCAAGCGTTGGGACTGACTAGCTTTCTTGGAGAACTCTTAGATGGAAATAACTCTCACTAGAGTTAAACGGCGAGGATACTTTCCACTGTCAACCCGACGGCAGCAGGATTTCAACCCCGCAATCCGTTGACCACTGAGGATATGTCACATCATAACTGTGGTTGGTGCCAGCAGGTAGCAGGATACGCATTGCGTAATCAACTCATTGTGAGGCAAACACTCTATCCTGTCAGCCACTACGCTCTCACTTTGATTATTAAGCTTATCAGATAAAAAGAATAAAAATAATTAAATATTAAAGAATGATCAATCATTTCATTTTTTGATTAAATGAAACTGAAAGCCAATTGAAATATTCTTGAATTAGCAATTTATTTTTTGTAATTCTTAAAGACTATGTTTGCTTAAGAAGTTTCCATCGTTTCAAGAGGGCAAAATTATTTCCTTTAAACTTTAAATATTAAGAAAAGTTTAAATATACAAAATTTTTAACTAAAAATTTTAGAAATTTTAGTTCTCTGGAACCAATTTCAGAGAAATACGTTAGAAAATAGTTTCCTAGTGGTGGTTGCAATTTTCCAAAACAATCACATCATTTTTTTTTTTCAGATTTTTTTTTAGATATCACTGATCAACTCTTAAAAATTTCGTAAAAAAAAGAAAATTGTAAATTCAGTTTTTTGCTGAGCCTTATGAAAAAATTTCCCCGTTAAAATTTAAACTATCAAAAAATTAAAACATTAGTTTCTCTCGTATTAGGTCGAATTCTTCTGCTAATTTTTAATTAATTGAAGAGTTTCGTATTAAAATAAAAGGTGAAGACTACAAACTAGCTACAAAAAATTAGTTCTAGTAAGCACAATTTTCCTTTCGATTTTCCTTTTTTTTTTCACAATTATCCGCAAGAGTTATAAGATTCATGACTCTAATCTAAAGAGACATAGATCGTTGGAAAAATAATCTTGACTTTATGAAATTTTGAAAGATTATTCCTCAAAAATATTCATATAAATAATTTAAGATCCCCTTATTTATTTATATAAATAGTTAGAAAATAACTTTAAACACACCCATAACAAAAACTACATTTTATAGGATTTATTTTCAATTACTTACGCATCTCATTATGTCAAATATTTAAGGGAATACACTTTTTTGAAGGTTAAACTGAATTCATTTAATTTTGTTTCTAAAACATATTTACGCGCCTCAATTTTCAAAAGTATAGGATAAAGTATTTGGATTCAACAAAGTTGTGCAACATGCCCTGTTAGTTTAAATACCCCACGGTGCAACGTGCTCTTCAAGAAATTATAGTAATCATCTGAACTCACAATGTTTCATTTTTACCCGGAAGCGATTATTCGTGATTTTTCCCCCGCTCTGAGTATTTAAGGGAGAAAAAAAAGTGCATGTAGGGAAAGTAGATATCAACAATGTCAACCTTCATCCATGAAAAGGTAACCCAACATAGAATCGAGTAATTTGTCTTATATAATAGTGAATTCGAATTTTGTATGAGTAGACACACTACAGTACTCCCCCACCAGAATTATAGCTGTGATAAAATTCGATGAATGGATACCACTAGTTGATTCATTGCTGTTTTGTGAAAAACCGGGAGAGCTGTATTAAGATCACCGTACTTATGAGTGCTGATCATCAGAGCTGTATTAAGTTCATGGTCGCTCCTGTGTTGCCTTTAGCAGTCGAGTGTATACATTGTGTGTGTTCGAGACTGAGTAGCAACAGAGCGAGGAGGTGGATAATGTCGCAGTCTCAAGTAGCAAGTCAACTGTTCAATGTGGACCATCTATTTAAGTAGGCGTGTTCAGATTGAAGTGGGAGTTACTGTCAAGATAGGCGCGTTTATATCAAAGTGGGAGTTTCTTTCAAAGTAGGCATGTTCACATCACGTCCAAAGGTCACCAATGTGGGGAGAGTCATTTCGACAACGTCAACCTTCATCTATGAATATATACCCAAACATAGAATCGAGTTCAACAAGTCTTATATATTAGTAAATTGGAATTGCATTTTTGTAGTGGTGGACACATTATAGTATATTTAATTCCCAACTAATAGGTGGTTTTAAATTTGCTACCATTGTAAAAGAAGTAAAACCAAATATTTTAGGTAAGTTTGTAAAAAAAAAAAATCGCTGACGAAATTAAAATTTTCTTGCATGAAAGATACAAGCATTTTTAACATTTATCATAAATGCGTGCTAACAATTTCTTCCTTTGGGCATTAAAACTAAAAAGGGAAGAAATGGATGAAGTAACTATTTTTAAAAACTTACTTGATAAATAATTTTATCTGCTTCAAAAATATACAGATTGGAAGTAACAGTCGACATGTTTCAAACGGTGAAAAAGAAGCGCCCATTTTCAAGGAACATGAAGGAGAAGAAATAAAAGGTATTTGAAATAGTGATTTCGATTTCTAATAGTGATATAAATAGTGAATAAAAGTGATTTCTTCTCATTCACGTCTGGCAAGTCCTGAAAATGATCACCTATTTTTGAGCGCTTGAAGCATGTCAACTGTTATTTCCAATCTGTATATTTTTAAAGCTAATGAAGTTTATTAATCAAAAATTATCTTACCCCTTCAGTTTTTTGGGATTATTTCTTTAATATTTTGAAGAATTATATATTTTTTTAAATCTTCAAAAATCATGAATACAGAATCTCTACTTACAAAATATGAAACTAATAATAATAAAACAATTAGCATTCCCTAATACTGCAATAAAAATTAAAAATCAAGTAAAATGAAATACTTGTACTCACTAGCTGATCGTTGATGTACCATTTGAGCTCTGGGGCTGGTTTGGACTTACCAGAATTGCACAATATAGAAACATTATCACCCAATTCATACTCTGCTTTTTCTGTCATTAATATAGGCCCATCTGATGGAGGCACTGAAAAACACACAGTAATGAAATATTCAAATCGATTTTGCTTAATTTAAAATAATAACAGAGTTTAGATAACAAACAAAAAAGGAAATAGAAAGCTAAATTAGAGCCGTCTTGCTGGCATTTTAAAGTTAATTGGGAAAACTGAAGGAAACTTAGAATGTTTATTTAATGCTGAAAGCAATTTGAAGTGGCTGCTGCAAATTATTACAAATATAAATCAATTTTATAAAGACAGAAATAATTAAATTGCTAATTACATAAAATAAAGAACTGAAAAATAATTGGAAATAAATTTTATAATGATATTTTGGAAACTGTGAAAGTAACTGTGTAAGCACAAATCATAAAGTTTGAAATTTAACGATTTTATTTTGTGCAAGTAGCCGCCATCTAGAAAATATAGCTAAAATTCAGGATAATTGGAAATAAATTTTATAATGATATTTTGGAAACTGTGAAAGTAACTGTGTAAGCACAAATCATAAAGATTGAAATTTAACGATTTTATTTTGTGCAAGTAGCCGCCTTCTAGAAAGTATAGCTAAAATAGTATAGTCATACACGGGGAAAAAATTTGTAAGATTACCGTATTGTATGGTAATGGCATTTCTGATAAACATGATTCTGGTTAATTAAACTAAAATTCACGGTATTTAAAACATTCATTTAGCAATTTTTCTGTCCATGTGGTAACAGTTTACCGGGAATGCTAGTCTTCAAAATAGTAGTTCTTATTACGCATATTTAGAAAACATTCCGAAACTGAAATTTGGATTTAACCGAATAAATGGTTTTTATGCCATGCTCAAAAGTATCATGACAGAACTGATAAATTTTATCTCATTTACTACCCAAACATCATAATATTGAAATCATATTTTATTGTTAATTTTAACAAAAGTCATTACCAAAGGGCTGCGATAAAAATTACCGACCTTTTTGGCATTCCCATAGGGCCAGAAAGTTTGCCATATTCTAGTAGTTTTGACCGTATACATTTTTTCTCAGTAAAAAAGGTCGAAAATTTTAGCTACTGTTAATTAAACTTTGTTGTTCGTATTTCGCTATATTTCAAACAAGTTAAATAATCAAAAAAATTATTTTCAGATTATTGTAAAACTTATTTTCAAAAGGTGAAACTAGTACTCATTATATAGTTTTATAACTGTTGGGGAAAATATTAGAGCACGATAGGGAAAATTTTTTATTAATATCTGTCTAGATAATAAAACTATATTATATAATATTTCTATCTATATTATATATTATATATATTATATATATTACCCGACCCTGATATATTATATATATCTATATTATAACAAAATAAAGTATTTTAATAAACTCAGTCAAATAGTTCACAAAAGTGTAAAATTTTAAAAAAATAAGTTACTTTTATATAGAATATTTTGAGTACAAAATGTACGTTAAATGAAATTCCAAATAATCTAAAAATTGTATGAGATACTACTTTTAAAGTTAAGGTAAGCACATAGATTGTACAAATTTTTGAAGTCGTTTTCTAGCTACGTTTTTCTTATTGTTCATTGAAGTCGTATTAACGACTCATCGAATTTTCAATTTGCTTAATGAGACTACAGTTAATAATAAATCTTACATTTTGTCGTGTTTCTTTCTCACAACAGTTTCATATATTTACTATTTAATTCAATTTTTAAAAAAAATCAACTTACCAACAACTTGCAGAGTTTTCGTAGCTTGCACACATCTAAAATAAGGTTTATCTGTAGATACTTGGCAAGTATAATCTCCATAACTATCCATACTTAGATTTCTTAAATACACTGTACTATTATCTGATTTAGACATCTAAGAAGAGAAAGACAACTTTTAATTGACTCAGAGATGCATAATCCTATACAAATTTAACGTTTAACCTCTTCGCTACTGAAGTGTAAAGGAATATAGCAAAAAAATATTTTAAAGTTTGAAATTTCTATTTTGCTGCCATAAGTCATAATATGATACACGAAATACGAATTATACGGCCAGGGGGCTTAGTTCCCCCACGGGTTTCAATTAAATAAAATGACATAAATATTTGAAACATTAAGTTGTACTTGAAGTAGGAACAAACATGCATAATGTAATTTTATGGTCTATTTAAATACAAAGGTGAATATATTTAATAATTATTCAGGAAAAAAACTAAATTTTAAAAAAATACGAAATTTTTTTTTACAATGGGATGCAATACAAAATAGAATACCAATGCTTATCTATGAATGGAATCTTAGTTTCAAAACTATTTTACTTATGCAAACGATGCAATTTAAATTATTATTTAAAAGAATCTAACTTTAACTTTAAAAAATATTTAATTCTTGGAAGTAAAATTTAAAAATTATGACAAAAAGCACAAAGTTAAAGTTTTTAAATATATATATGTTCCTTAATATAAAACAATTAATTAAAAGACACATTAAAATTTTATTAAATGGACATTAAACTGAACACTTATAATTCTATGAGATTTTATTTGACTACTACACTGTCATAAACTTATCCTTACTTTGCAAGATACACATGCGTGGACTTGCCTGTATTATTCTTAAATATTAAGTAAATATAAATTTAAAAGCTTCATACAGATCACAGAACTACCAAGTTAAAAGAGAAAAATTATTTTCCGAAAGACTAAATTAGTCACATTTTCGAGCATCATTTAGCGTCATTTTTCGAAAATCACTTTATGTGCCTAAATAACTTGCATGTTCTGCATCTATGGCGGAATCCCAAGAAAGCTTCAATATCCACGAATGTTTTAGTGAAGGTAATACTATAAATTTTCTTATGGCGTGTTTTTAGAAATTTAGAAGTTAAAGTCCTCATATGTGAACCTAAGTAATGAATAGTTTAAATGTAATGCTAAAAAACAGAGTCTGTTCTGCACAACACTTGAACTAATAAAATGTAAATAAACAGTATCATACCATAAGGATTGAATAAGACTAGAATCATGAATTATTGATTACATTTTGAGTAAATTTTAGTTCTAGTCTGATTCTAAATCTAATCTAACATAAATATCTCTATTATCCGGCATGCTGTAAAAGTTTCAAGCAATTAAATTATGAAGTTCCCCTCAATCGAGTCTTAATTTTACCTCCCCTGTTTATTAGTCTCAACTTTTTCCGAATTTTCTTATGCTGGTTTATCTGCATTAAGAAACTGGTACTTTTTTTCTTAAGAAAATCAAAATTTGCAAAATACTCTGAATGCTTATCAGGTTAGTTGGCTTCAACACATACATTAAAAAAATTTCCGGATTTTTTAAACTGAGGCCAGAAGTTTCGGTATGAAAAATGTCCCTGTCACACAAATTAGCAACAAGAATGTTTTTTTTTTTTTTTTTTTTTTTTTTTTTTTTTTTTTTTTTTTTTTTTTTTTNTTTTTTTTTTTTTGCTTTAAAAAAATCATTACGGGTTTCTGGTCATTATTTTTTAATTTAATACCGTTAGCTTAGCCCTCCCGTATCGTAAGAGGTATAATGTACTTACATCTACATCTATGCCTGTCTGATTGAAAGTTTTCAGAGGAGGATCTGATGCTGGAACATATCTATAGAATTCCCCCATATTTTTATACCACTTAACGGCATACAGTGTCTCGTTACCAAGTTCGTATCTACATCGAAGACGAACACTGTCTCCAGTAACAACAGGTGTGGGTATGTGAAGCATACTTATCCTAAGTGTGACGTGGGATCGTGAACCTAAAAGTAACAAAAATAAAACTTTCACACTTCTATGCATTTAACCTTTTTTTAATAATAATCATATAAATAGCAAAGTCAATTCAAAAGATTAATAAGGAAATATGCTTTTGTGGAAGACTTTTTCATGAAACTAGGAGAAAAAAAACCCCACTAAAACCTGCTACTGATAGCCTCACGGCAGGGAGATCTTATAGCACGATCCATCTACCACCGAGAAGCCAGCACTCTGCTAGTTGTTAGCCGGGTGCGAATTTCGTTTCAAACAGTCATCGCGGGGATATGAACCTGGGTCAGCTCATTGGGAGGTGAGCACTCCATCCCTTGAGCCAAAACTGCTCTGCTCATTTCAGTTAGGCGTCATTTTTCACAAATCACAAGTCGTAGCAACTGCCAGTCATACCACTAGTCGTAATCCGCATTACTTTCCTCCCTACTCAACGTCTATTCATGGGCCTATCAATACCTATACACATCACCTAATTTTTAAACTAACTTTTCTTTTTCTGATCATAACAAAATCTGTTCGACTCAATCTGTATTAAATTTGATATAAAATCCATCACTGTTGAATCACTTTTCATTGTCATTTTAAATAAAGATTAATATTATAAGGAAATTTTATCTTATCTTAGCATGATATTATAGGACCATCCACATACAAGTCCATGACCTCATTTTTAAACTGAAGTTTCTTTTCAGAAAATCATTCCCCAAATTTTTATTCGATGCATTCATCACTGTTGACTCACTTTCCAATGTCTAATTAGATAAATACTAATGATATAACGAAATATTATATTATGAATTTACGATATCAAGTTATTATTAGATACATTCAATAACAGGGACTCATTATTCAAAAATACAGCAAATCATGAAACGCTTCATTTCGAAATTAAAGATTTCTATATGATAAAAATCGTCATTGTGATCTGATATTTACCTAGTTTAATTATTTTTATTTGAGACGTGGTGGCTCAGGGGATAGATCCTTCGCCTTCCTATGAGGTGAACCGCGCTCGAATCCCAGAGATTTCTTTTCGATACGAATTCCGCCCCCGGCTCGTTCAGATCTCATTGCTGACGTAAAATATCCTCAGTCGTTGACGGATCAGGTTATTGAGTCTTCTACCACGATAACCGTGGGAGGTTATCGTGGTCTTCCTCTCCATGTAACGCAAATACGGGTTAGTTCCATCAAAAAGTCCTCCAGGAAGGCAAATCCCGATACTTGATCCAGGAGTTCCCTTATCTTCTGGATTACGTTCAAAATTACAAGGCTACGGAGTTAAACATTAGTTGTCGTAAACCCAAAATTGGGTTGGCTGTTCAACTACGGTTATAACATAAAATATTATTATTATTTTTTTGATATTAATGAAAAACATTTTTCAGAAAGCACCTAAGTTTTATTTTTCAAGTTTAGAAAGTAACTTTCATTATTTTTTTAAATTATAGTTTTTATAAAATCACTTATGATAAAATTTATAGATGAACAGTGAAACATTGTGTATGAAAAGTACATTTAGTTCTTCTGAAACCTACATGAAAACTAAAATGCTCATTAACATTTACGCGCTATTTTCTACGTTCAATTCAATCTTCAAGATGGGTTAATATGTAGAATTGAAGACAAATCAATATTTTCAGGCAGAATCTAGGTTTTCGTAGTAGACCTTATTTGCTTAATTCGCAAAAAAGTCATTAAAATAATATCAGTAGTTGAAATAAATAATAATCAGTAATCATACGAATAGGAATTATTCTGATTAAAAGTTTACTTACAAATATCAGGTATTGCAGTAACGAGAAGGAAAAGAAAGTTCTCAAGAATTGAGGCCTTGAAGGCCGGGCCTTTGAGCATTTCTCATCAAGTTTATGTGTGTAACGAAATTCTAACCCTTATTCCTGAAATACCCAATCGCACATCAGCCAATTAAGTTCTTTCCTAAACACACAAACAAAATAAGTATTAAACACACTGTAAAAAATCTAAATAAATCACTCAAAGTTATATTCAGTCAATCAAAGAATATAATATTGTAATTTGTCACGTTAAAAATTATATAACATATCTATTAACCTTCTGGCGCAAATGGGACATCAGTGTCCTGTTTAGATACATTTTTTCTGACTCTCTAATTACAAGCAAAAAGGCATTTTGTTATTTTTGAACTATAAAAAAAAACAATCTAATGATTACCGCAAAAAATCAGTTGGGTTCTCGAAATTAAGTTTGTCCTAAAATACGAAGTGCAAAATAAGTAGTTTGAATTTCTTTCATTCACATTCAAAATATTATCAAAAATTGATTTTGTTAAAAGACATTTCATTGACGAATAACTGCTTCTCTTAGATCTAAACAATTGCAATTAAGTGTAAATTTTTAAAAAAAAGTTATTGTTTGGACATGAGCTGCGCTTGCAGATTTTACCTCTTACTCAGAAAAAGATACCAGTGTTATATGCTGTATTTCATAACCATAAATTATTAAAATGCTAAATATAATATTTTTCTCTTATTTTACCTAATTTATTTAAAATAATGAAAAAAGTATAAAAAACATATTTAATGAAAGTTCTGAGTCAAAAGAATTAAAAGAAAAAATATTTTTATTTTAAAGTAATTCTAGTTAAATTATACTCTAAGAGAATAAGATTTCTGCAAATTTGTTTCTGATTTGAAAGTTTAATAGAGCTTAGTTTTGTTACTGAAAATTTGAAAAGAATGTTCTTTTTTATTTATTTGTGAAGAATGTATGTTGAAAATCATGAATGATTATTGAAAATCAATCTATTTTCCATAATTCATCTGCTGCTTGCAAACATCCGGGTTATTCAACAAGCGCATGACTTACACATTTTAAGATCTTTAAGATAGTTCTTAACAAATAATGAAAGTTTTAGAATTCCGCTTAGCAATTAAAATGGCTTTTTTATATTTTTAACTCTCGTTTATTAACTAATATTCTTAATTCTTAATTCCCTCAGTAATTATTGGAAAATTATAATTTTTTTCAACTAGATATGATGTTTTTAATATGCATTGTTGTTTATCATGTAGTATTATCATTGTTGTTTATTATGTAGTAAAACACCCTGCATATTTAGATGCACGTTACAATTTACTTTATTAAAAGCATGTTTTTGTACTGTATTCGCCCTAAAACATTTTACCAATTATTTAATTAGTCGTCATCATCATTCATCCCAAATAGCAACAAATGTTCAGGGTGGACCAAAGCCTTTTTTTTTCTTTTCTTGAAGCAATTTCTATGATTTTCTTTCACTGACAATGGGTCACCAGTTTTTTTTTTCTTGGCAATCCAAAATCTCATTCAACTGCGTCTTTTCATCGCATCTCGGGTTGCCGCCTTCTCCTTTGTCCCCACGGTTTTGACAAAATGAGAGGTTCTAAAGAAATGCCTCTTGCTTCAATTATCCGGACGTCCGATTATCTGGATTAAATCTGATCTCACCAGACTGGATATATAGAGTTCTATTCTAGTATGATCGATACTATAGACTACGGGTGTTTCTTCGAATTGTTGTGGACGATTTTGTGTGATTTATCTGAACTTAAATAAATTTGATTAAAATTAACTGAAAATAACTTGATGTCGCCCTAGTACAAAATGCATATGAAGCTTACAATTAGCATTACAGTTAAATTTACGATTGCTTTCAAATATACACTTTTAAACTACGTTCTAAAAATATCCTAATGGAAAAATTTCTAACATTACACAGATTGAATTGAACACAAATCACCAATGCAAACGTAAAAGAAAGAATCGATGATAAAATAAAAATTTAGTAATGATCAAGTATAAGAACTGAAAAGGGAAGAAAATGACTCTGAAACGTTTCAAGAAAAAAAAAATATTATTTGAACGAAATCTCAATTTAGCAGCTCGAAACGGCCATTAGACAAAACGAAAGAGACTATACTTTTCTTAAATTTAAAATTCTAGTTCTTCTTTTGCAACTATAATGATTCTCTTAAACGTAAAAAGATATTGAAAGAGTTTTATGATAGAGTTTTGGAATAAATTTCAGCAAAAATCAGTCAGCGATATCGTGAAGTTGATAGTCATCAATTTATTTCAATGTAGAGGTCTTTTTTTTTCTTCCAATTTTTAAATTAAAGTTGATACTATTGAAACTTTTCTAGACAAACTTTTAATATTTGAAACAGTGCAAGCATTTGATTTAAAATGAAGGAGATCAGATTCGTAGATTATTGAACTAACAAGAATTTTCAGTAGTAACAAATGTCCAAAAGTATTAAGTTTACTTTGAACTACGTTCACTAAAGTAAAAAACATGTGGAATAAAGCATAAAGTATAGAAGTGTACATCCTATAAACTAATTACCATTAGATAAAGAGTTCGATATCAGTCCACTACTATTTATCAGAAACCTTTTGCTGTTTCAATCTCTTCTTATATTCTTTCATCTCCATTGCCAAACCAAAAGACAGCTGATAGTTTGTTAGAACAAATTTTAGAAACACTTGTTTACCGTTCTTCTAAAATTTGTTCTAACAGTTGTTTTCTCAACGAAAAGCTTATTTAACTTAAGATTATCACTGTTGACCATGGGTTTCTTTCTAATATCATTGATTTTATTAATGAAAAATTAATCACACAATCTGACGATCTATGTTATTCAAACTTCCATTTGATTGTTATACCTTATTACCCAAAAATCAGACCCAAATTGCTAAGATTTTGATTTATTTGAGCTTAAAGCCTCTTTTTCCTATGCTGAGAAACTAAGTATCACAAATCTTACAGACACTAAGGCTGATATTAATAGTTAGGACATTTATAAAATTTCTTATCAGTGTGGTATATAGTATATTTTATTTTATAACCGTCGTTGAACAAGTCGTTTAAGTTTACGACTACCAATGTTCAAGTCCTTAGTCTTATAATTTTGAACCCAATCTGGAAGACAAGGGAATTCCTGGATCAAGTAATTTTTTTTAAAAAGATTGACTTCTTGGAGGTCTTTCTGCTGAAAATAACTCGCATCTGTTTTACATGGAGAAGAAAACCACGAAAGCCTCTCATTGTCAGCCTGATGGCAAGGGGACTCTAATTCATGATCCGTCTACCAATGAAGATATTTTACGTCAACACTGCGGTTGGTGTGAGTCGGGTGAGTTCGGTATCGACGAGCCATCGCTGTGAATCAAACCGTGTCACCTCATCACCCAAACCAGCACGGCTCTCTATTGGACAAACTAAATGTACATTTAAAATTCGATATAAAGAATATGTAAGATGTCCAAAATCAGGATGTTTAACGATCTTCCGTAACCCTACAGAATTTGTATTTAAATGGTAGGTTTGAGTTTACTTCGAAAATTATTCAACACTGCTCTTCTACCCGATTTGACTTCGGAGGACCACTTCATGTTTAAAAAAACTCTAATGACTTAGTTAATGATATTTCTAGTATCCTAATCTTTCACAACGTCTGGAAATATATTTTAATTTTACTTTTTGGCCCCCTGTCATACCATCTCACACTTGTTTCTTATCTCCTCTTTTTTTAACTTGTTTCATTTGTTCCTCTCTCCTGACTGGTTTAATCTCTTTGTACGTGAATTTCTCCTTACTTTTCTAATGTCGTTTGATGATTAAACATTGAAAAAACAATTTGGTTGAACTAAAACTATAGTCTGTCTATTTCTGTAGTTTATTTGTACTTTATTGGCATTAGTTTTCCCTTTAATAGTAGCAAGTAGTTTTAAAACTGCTTAAATACGGTAACGGCATTAAAATTATCTACGTACATCCAAAATGTACGTTAAATGTAAAAGACAATAGAACTTATAAGGAACTAGAATAATCAAACATACCATAAGCAATTCATACTTTAAGCAAAATAAAAAGTAACCGCTCTGTTCAAAAGCTATAGTCTATTTCAAACAGCCTATTTCCACTCTCTTCTATCATTCCGTTTTTCATCGTGCCAAAATCTAAAATTTCATTTAATTTTGTTTTCCTCATTTCGTTATTTAATATATAGTGGGAACCGAACAGATTTTCATTTTTTGTTTACTATCCAGATCCGACTAATGAATTTAAGTATACAATACAATGTAAGTTACCAGGATGCAGTGGTTATTATTCGGTACCGGGTACCAGGACATAATTTGATTTGTAACAATTATGTTTGGTCGACACAGCCATTGTAAAATTTACTGTGTACCTAAGCTATTCTCGAAATCAATAGTGATTAAGTCCAAGAATTTCATCAGTTTCTTAATGATTGAAACTAAAATGAGTAGTTTAAGCATGAAAAATTTAATTATTGCAAAAAGAAAAAAATATCCGCACCGGTAAAAAACGATGATGTCCAATATTAAGTTCAATAATATAATCGAAGAATAGAATATAAGTTCATCACTACAATAGGATTATGTATTTTTGATGTCGTAAAAATGTATATTTTTTGTGCAATAAGGAAAAAAATAGAAATTTTTTTGAGAGAAAATGTGGAATTAGAAATTTTTTTTTTTCTATTGATCATCACACGTTGTCGCGAGATCAGCAGGTCTATTAATTTAATTTGAATTTGATTTTATTGCCTCGAATTTTTACTTCAATTAATTTTCCGAACCCGACACGGCGTACGGAGTTTATTAAATGCATTCATTCTTAAATTTCCGATTTTTGAAAAACTAGCCTCCAGTTCATCCCTTTTTATGAGTTTTAATTTTTGTCTGCGAATAATTCGAAGACATTTCCGGATGTTTTTTTGTTTTTATCCCCAAAATACACACGTTTAATCAGTTATTGGGGGCAGGAAATGACCCTGCACACCTCTCCGTTTGATCCACGGAGCATTTTATTTCACGTGATTGGCGAGTTCAGTGTGATATTTTTCGTTCCAAATTAGAGTGACATCTAATTTTTAACAATATCCATGTAA